AGCAAGGGTAAGCTGTATCGTATTGACATCGCGTACTCGTCTTGGCCACAATGCGGACATGTAATATTTGAGTGCGCCTGATATCAGAATTAGATAGGGTAATGTAAGATGACGCGGAGCGGTGACGAACCAATGTGGGATCCGATCCCAGGTCGGTAGTAATTCCCACCTGTTCTCTGTTTGATTTAAAGGTCAGTAAGATGGCACAAAATATTTCAGCTTCAAGCACTTACTTGGTGACTGTTAGTAAATCATTCCTGTAGACACACTTGTTCTCGCCGATCTCCTCTTCGCTACATATTCGACAAGCGTAAACCATGATGCGACGCCCAGTGTCAGCCTTTGGGTAAAGCAGATTATTGCACTCTGAGCAGAAGTGGAGTGATGCCTGCATGTGGCAAGGACGACCAGAATATAAGAACGGTTGTATAAATACGGCACAGACATATGGGGACGGATAGAAGCCTTTAGCAGTGAACTGCAGCACAAGAGATTAAAAGACAGACCATCGCAGGGGTGTTGAAGATATCAGCCTGAGTACAAGATGGATTTCAATCTCCGACAGCGTGTCGTGCCCACTCTGATCCATACAAAAGTACTCGACATTCAAGTCCAAGTGCAATACTTGGCTAACTGTTTATGATCTGTTAGGTGCTCGACAAGTCCTTCGCGAGCTTTGTTTATTGAAACGTGGTGTTAGCAACACGTACGTTCAGATGGATTTATGTGGGTCTATGGACGTTACGGATATGCTTTGCGCTTCTTGGAACTGGGTACATTCACCCAGATGAACACATGCAGAATGGAGAAGTGACCTCCGGTGAGTCTGAGCCTCGTGTTTCTCCTGCCACTCTAATCCCAGAATCTAAATATTTAAGGTGATCTCATGCCTTACCATACCATCCGTACTTGGGAATGGTCCGCTGTACTTCCCGTTCGTTCTATAGTACCGGCATTTGCGACAACTGGAATCCCTGTCTGGTTTGCTAAGGTCCTCAGCAGTGAGAAACTTTGTGCTGGAACTGTCATGTATGTCTTACACGGCCTGTTTAGAGGAACACTTAATACAGGGAGTGCATCCAATCCTACTCTTTCGACTAGAACGGTCCGCCTTCTTGCTCTTATCTGGGCTGATCGGTAAATCGTTGTAATGCATCTCTGCAGCTTATGAAACTCAAAGCATTATTAGATTACAGCTTGATGAGTTTGGTGCCGACGCCGAGTGCCCGACGCCTTGGTCTTCTGCTTCTGGCGTCGTCTCATGTCATGAACACGTTCCAGGTTCGACCCTTCTCGAATTCTATCGAGGCTGTCCTTATTTCTTTGAGTCTGTTGTTCTTGCGCAAGATACGTTCGGTTAAGATGCTGGATAAGGTCCGTTTGGCTATTCCCGACTTCTCGAGGATCTCGAATCTAATCTACCGGTAGAGTTATTATATCCACTTACTAGCCATAACCTTTGTGACTGGTATATTCACTCGCCCAACCTTCTTGATATTCGGGGCGCCCATCGCATTTCAGGTCGCACTTGGAACGTTTATACATGCCAGAACTGTGACCAGGTGGCTGCGGCTTGTCGTCCCGCCGTTATTCACTGCAGCAGGGACATGTACCGCATTTTTGGTGGCGGACACCCTATATTTTCGAGGTACCCTTGACGACATCGTGGTGACACCTTTTAATTTTCTCATGTATAATTTCGCGTCCCAAAATCTGGCAGAACATGGAGTTCATCCACGTTGGCTCCACATTTTCGTGAACCTTCCGATGTTGTTCGGCCCCTGGATCACTTGGCTAGCAGTGCGCGTGATTGTGGACAGCGCCACATTGTTTAATAAGAAAAATGACAAATCATTCGAAGTCGACGTTCTTCACCCGAGTAAGGGCTTTTATTGACAGTGCTCGCAACCACTCACATTTTGTCCACTCGCAGCAATCATACAAATGATCATTTTGTCATTGTCTGTCCTATCTGTGCAACCTCACCAAGAACCTCGCTTCTTGGTGCCTCTTTTGTTGCCAATTATTGTCTTGATAGCAAACACTGGACAATTGGCCCATGTTGGCAAAACATTCTGGGTATGTTAACACATTGAAGTCAGCCAGAGGCTGCTAACAACTTTGTAGGTATCCTGCTCCATATTCAACTTCGTGCTCGCGGTTCTATTTGGAATTCTACATCAAGGAGGCGTAGTACCCTCCCTATTCCACCTCCATCCCTTGGTTGCTAATGCTTCCCTCGGCACGCGGACAAACATAATCTACTGGAAGACGTACATGCCGCCGCTCCACCTCCTTGGCGTTAACGAACGAGGTTATTCCCATTTGCTCGATGCAAGCAGGTTCAGCTGACGTAGTATCACTCAGATGTTGCAACTGGCTTAGTTTCTTTCGTTGATCTCGCCGGGGCGTCCCAAGATGACTTTGCTGCATCCCTCAGTGCTGATGATTACGACAAAATATTTCTTGTGACTCCCGTGGCCATGCGATACACGCTACCCCCTGCAATCACGGGCTGTATGGAACTAAACCAGACCATTTTTCCGCATCTCGATCTTGACCACATTTCGGAGAGCATAGATGCAGGCGTACTTGACGGCCTTCGTTTAGGGGTGTATACCTTGTCACGTAATTGTGTCTTTGTTTGAACCACTAATGGACTTTGGCGAATTGAGCGGTAATGCTGAGAACTGCCCGTTGGTCTCCACCTCTTATAACCATTCGGCACCATCTAAACATTATTTTCTTTGCGGTTTGTCAACCGGCGAGCCTGAACGCCGTGCGCCATAGTGTGATAGAATAATTTAACCACGTCGCAATCTGAGACTACAATATCAGAGTGCTGACTCGGCTACTACTGATAGATGTGGCGGTCTGAAAGTCTCTCGTTCGCAAATTGCAATATGCAGTAGCTGCAAGCGCTACTATAGTTTCCACCCTTCGTGGTTCCCCAATATCAGACGTCGAAAAACTTAGACCGATCATCATAAAGAAGCCAGGAGACATGGAGGTAAGGGAGCGTGGCCAAATGATCTTTATTGCCAGAGTATGGTACAAATGCATCCACTACGACAGTCTACAGATGCGAGAAATGAAGCGACTATGTTGGAAAAGGGCTCTGGAGGTTAATGTTTCTCTGATAATGGCCTGAAGTCGTAGCTCTTACTGCGTTTCAATGTGTTTGCATTACAGCAGTTTGCATAATGGTAGAGGCCGGCGGTATTTCCAAAAAAATGTGCATTTAATTTCAAAAAAGTAGTGCTACAAAGATCGATTTTTATCTCAACAACGAAGCAAGCTATTGACATGGTCCAAGCGACAAAACTGATCAGAAAAATCGAATGCAGACGACCAGCGAAAAAACTAAGCGATTCGGTGAAGTTGATGGTCACCTGCCCTCAGAGCCAGTAGAACTACAAAGATTGATTTTTATTTCAGTAACGAAGCAAGATAATGACAAGCGATAAGATACAAACCTGATCAGAAAAATGAGGCGCAGATGACTGCAGAAAGGATGGAATGATTTGGCGAAGTGGACAAAGTCTTGCCTCGTGTCTACTAGCATAAAAACCAAATTCACATACATCTCACTTTTCCCGCCGGTTTGCTACATCGTCTCACAGGATGGCAAAGGCTTCCACCTGAGTGCGCAAGGTCAAGGAACCCAGGAAATGTGGTCGTCCTCCGAAAAAGCAATTACAGCCCCCCAGTGGTACATGTAACACAGGTGGAAGATCCTCTGAGTCAGGAAGTCGTCTCAAAGACTGAACCTGTGCGATGAAGTGTTTGCCAGATTGTGGACAATGATAGGTGTTTCCCGCGAGCCTTGCTAATCTCGTCATGGAGCTCGTCTAGATACATATCACAGCTGCAGGACAAACAGCCATGCATGTACCTTTGTTATGTCAGAATTTGTGCAGGAAGAGATTGAATATGGATGCACCTCGATATCTTCCAAGTCCAAATCATACTGGCACTATTATCACTCTGGCTTTCTTTATACGGCTGCCCAGTCAACTTATAGCATTGCGCAATCTTTTCTATTGTCGATTTGCTTGCACCAGTGTATTTCGGATGTGTCGAGGAGCAGTAGCATTCAGATGATTATTTTGCATAGTTCTTGCGACAATTTGTGATGGGGTAAGGGAGACATTTGAAAGTGTTGTTGTAGACTGTTGGCTCTGAGAGCATGTGACCATTAACTTCACCGAATCGCTTAGTTTTTTCGCTGGTCGTCTGCATTCAATTTTTCTGATCAGTTTTGTCGCTTGGACGATGTCAATAGCTTGCTTCGTTGTTGAGATAAAAATCGATCTTTGTAGCACTACTTTTTTGAAATTAAATGCACATTTTTTTTGGAAATACCGCCGGCCTCTACCATTATGCAAACTGCTGTAACAGAGCCGCGTGAAACTGACATATTTGGCATTACCAACCGACCAATATCAAGCAGTGTTCATGGCGTCTCTGCCACCCAGGCTCAGCCATTTTGGTCAAGCAAAACCAGCGTTCATACAAGCTAAATCATCGTTTCTCACTCCCGGCCATTTCACACAAGCTAAGCCATTAGAAAATCCTGCCCCTACTGCACCTGCACCTCGCCCACAACAACAGCAATTGGTGCAGAATAATCGCCGTAGAACGGAAGTGGCACCGGCACCTGTAGTAAGCAACGAAAAACAGCCTGCAAAGAGAAAACGTAGGAGGGCGGATTCAAATTCACCTGATGCACCCTATGTTAGACTTGTCCCTATTACGGATGATGACCCGAACGCGATGGACGTCGAAGATGTCGATGGGCTCAAGTCTCGCAATTTTCAAGCATTTGACAGGATCAAAGATCCGATAATCGTATGTTCCTACCTATTTGAACCAGAACGTCATTAACATTCTTTGAGTGCTGTATTTATTGCCACGACGTTGGACCTTACATATGGACATGTCAGGCTGAAGGTTGCGGGAACCCTGTGTGTGTCGGCTTGAGTGAATGCGATCACGGATGCGTAAATATATTCTCTGATCCAGAGACCGGTAACATGAGCGTGACTGAAAAGACATTCATGTGTCCTCGATGCCATCGGGATAAAGGTCTAGCAATGACTGTAAGTCAATCCGCTGCTTCATTGTCACACATCTATAAATCACTCATTACAACAGTACAATGTTCAAGGATACTCTGTTCGACAAGACTTTCTCTATCGCAACCGTTTCCCCCTGCTCGCTATTTTCTTGTCGTGGAGTGGTTTTGAAAGCCCGTTTGCTTCAAATCTAATCAGATTAACGCTGGAAGAACATTATCGTCGGGATAAAAGCAGGGTGCGTGTGTTCATTTTTACTGGATAACTCTTTCACTCTGATGATGATTGAAAAGTTACATATAATGACGCGAGCCCTGAGAGCCGGGAATAATTGTCCACAAGCTATGACCCCTTCGTTCGATTGGATGCGTGAGTTCAACTATGAGGGAAATCTGTTGATATTCGTCAACACACATTCTGACACGAAGACGGGCAATCTCGTTGTATCTGGAAACGAGAAAAATCCAATGTCCATTCCAATTTATGAGGTGAGATTTCTGAAATCTCAAAATATTTATCTAAGGATATGGACGATTGCGAACATAGCTTCTTTCAAAGTACATTGGGGATCATAATTTGAGAGCTGCAACGCATGCGATCTCCGCAATCAACAAGAAAGCAGGTGTTGGTCCATGCATTCGAGGGCTTGTCATCTGCGCATGCGGATCCACGGGAAGACTTGATGACAGTGCACTGTTGTTAACACGATTCGTGAAAGAGTAAGTGACATTTTCATGATATCCTAAAATATGATTGTCTCATATACAACCAATCAGGGATATCTTCGATTTTGTGCTTACATTTTTGAGTGTATCGACAATGGATCCAGTGGTCGTTCCTGCGTTGAATCGCTTTATCGAGAACGTGTATGTATACGGCTTGCAGATGTGGGACGCGCTGGAGGAATCATTTGGTGAAGATAGACACGCCCTCAACCAATCACCCGTATTTCTGTCATTCGCTGAGATGAAGACCAATGGAGACAAAGTGCGACAACGTACCGTCCACACCAGGGTCCTAGCATACTCCAATCTCAGAGACGGGCGGCCTTGGGGCCTTGACATATACCGGTGTTTGAGTGCCGCGTGCAACGCACCTGCCTACAACATAATTTTTCATCCACACGGAAAGCAATACTACGGGAAGCAATGGGTGCAGACAAAGATTAAATATGAATGTCTGGAATGCGGCGTTGTCCAGAAAGCCATTTCATGTCCACCTTGGATACATGCAGCGCGGTCTCAAAACTATGGACGTGTTTGGTATGAGTGGCCACTCAGCGCTGAGCACAAAAGAGACATCGGAATCATATGCTGACCATGGTACGATACATTTTATTTTTATGTCATGCAATGTGTCGATGACTGTGTTTTGATATTGACTTTCTGCGTTTGAAGATGTCATGTTTCGTTTACTCATCTGCATACTTCTCACGCAAAGTCGATATCCCTCCCTGCTCGAGGTTCTTTTTACGATTTAGATCACTATAGTATGTATAATGTGCCATTTTGTCGCATACATTCTAATATATATAAGCACGGAATGTCTGATCCCATGGAACCAATTCGCGTCTACCCCACGTGTGCGCTCCAGCTGATCGCCACTCACATTCGAATTGTTCGATCTCCCGTGCCGCACTGATCTCTGTTCCTATTCACCTACCATCATCCTGTCTTCGGGTACGATGTCACCGAGATATTCATGCGCTGTTTTCAACGGATACTGAGTATGAAAAGCGCACTTTCGAGCGCGCTGTTTCCAACAGACTCTGAGGATGAGAAGACCACTCATCTCCTCTATGAAAGTTCATGCGCATCTTCACTCTCAACATGCCCGTACACACGATTGGAGACCCAGAGTACACCGACTTCGTGGACATGTTAGGAGAGGACTGGTCCGGCAAACGTCAAGCTCTTCATCTCATCAATCAAATCGGGAGCATCACCGATGCCATCGACTTTCTTTTTCCCCCGCACGTTCTACTGGATCCAATGACATGCATTCAACGACATCATGCTCGAAGCGCTGCCTGGAGATTTCGGTGCCCTCAGACCGGTGAGATGCATTGCCTGTCTCGCATCACTTTCAAGCCTCCGCGGAGCACCTGGACAGTCAACCAAAAAAAGTTTCCTCTCAGACCGGCATACGCGACCACGTTCAACGGATGTCAAGGTCTGACGTTGCAGAAAGCAGTACTAGACCTGCGCACGGACTCCTTCGCGCACGGACAACTATACACGGCATTGTCGAGAGTGAGATGTCGTCGTGACATTCGCGCGCTATTTGCAGAGACTGAGGATGAAAAGACGACGGCGAACGTAGTGTATAAGCATCTGTTACTATGATTGAGGTTGAACTACGTCTGAAGGCGATCGGAGCGCTTGTGACGTATAAGACATAGACTGGGAAAAGGTCGGTCCACAGAAATTTGGCGCATCGGTTTTGGGAGAGCTGACTGGTAATATTCAAAAGTCCTCAGTTATGGTGTATTTAACTTATCCTATTCATATACACTTGATACACCAACTGCCGTTTTCCAGCGCCTCCTCGGAAAAAAAAATCTTGATCAGGCGAGGATCAGCCTGTGCGAAACTTAACATTTATCTGGTTATAACGCAGCATCCTATTTTAAAAGCTTCGGTGGGAGGAGCGATCAATGCGGATGGAGAGGTCTACTGCCAGACCGGGCGGGCCAGACCTGCAAAAGAGATGGAAGGAACGACTTGAGTGCTTCGGCGAGTTGTCTAGGAAGCAAAATATTGATGCGGGACCAGATGCCTGTTATTGAGCTGGCAACAACTCCCTATTGGCGACACATCCGGGTGAAGAGTAGGGGTGTGTCGGAAACATTGGCTAAAATGGTGGTTCGTGTCACTGAAAATATACTGGGACATTCTTGAAAACGATGACGATGAACAAGGTACTTCTGTAGAAGCTATCGGAAGCCTCTGATTACTAGGGTTGGGTTCAGGGTGGTTCAACTTGCCATGTTAAGAAGGTATCGTTCTGTTCTATGCACGTGCGGGAGCTTTCATGTCGCCGAATAGACTAGTAACCAAACTGGACGTCTTCGATGTGAAGAAGGGCTTGAACATAGTCGCCGCTTGAAGGCTTTCAGAGTGATTCGGAGTTTCAAATAACACGTGACTATGTATGTGCTAAATTTGCAAATCCGCGCGCCGCGACCGCGACTCCGGCGGCCAATCTTTGGTTGAGACTTGCCTACTCCGAGTTGTGATTTTCCTGAAATTCATGGAATGATATATGACATAGCTTCGGTAAGACGTCGACACGGGTGCCATCTTGTTTCAAGTTACACGCGAACTAATGGTCTGGAGTAGCCTACAATTAGGATTTTATCTGGCGACACCTTGTCTTTCAATCGTATCCTTCTCCCAGTCGAAGCCTTTATGTCTATGGTCAAACGTCAGGACTATCAGAGGTTAACGCTGAGTTGATTGTTATGTCCACTCCGGAGCTGTGACACGTGTGGTATGCACATTGTGATCGAATATCTGAATCTTCTGTGCTACTTTCAAGTTTTCTTCTGAGAACTTGAATGCCGTGACATCTTCCAACGATGTATTGGTCACCGGCCACTCGGTTCTATGTGCGCATGCCCCACTGGGCCACTGAGGCTGCATGCTACATGTTCAATGAAAAGCACGCGGATCAAGCATGCTGTGGTGCGCAGTCTACCACAGCTCGAAGATATAAGTAAGACGCTCGACTACTCTTACTTTAAGTCAACCAGCCCGACCACACAAAACATCAACATGAGCTGGAGAAGTCTCGACAGTACCCCAGAACTCTCTCACCCAGTATTGGCAGTCCCGTATCGTGTTCCGTCATCGGAAGGCTTTGCCTCTCGTGCGATGAGCCCTCTCTCAGCCTCGGCCTCTCAACTATCGTTTAGTTCACCTGTTTCCCGGTCTTCCCGGTCGCCATCGGGGAACATAAGACTTCCTGGACTCCTCGGCCAGTCATCCGTTGTCGCAAGCCCGGTCGAGTCCGTAAGAAGCATTGCCTCATTCTTTACGAAGCTGCGGTCTCCGCCGAGACATTCCGAGTTTTATTTGCAGGATGAATTATCTGTCTTCCTGGTAGGTAGTCCAAATCTCTACATTTCTGAATTTTCACATTAAAGAACATTGTGATTTAATAGGTAGACGGGGTGTTATTCCGTGTACATCGCTTTTTTTTGCAGCGCGAGTCGGATGTGTTTCGCACTATGTTTGTGTGTCCTCCAACCCAGGACGGTCCTGAAGGACTCACTGACGACAAGCCCATCGTCCTGCCTGAAGTGACAGTCGCTGAGTTTGAGGCTTTGCTCAAGTTCCTATACGATGGGTATGCCTCTCACACATCACCGTACCTCGTATCACTAACTACCTCTCAGGGGTATCTCACCATCTCCTTTCTCAACAGCAGACGAATGGATCAGACTGCTGTCGATTGCAACCCGCTATGCAATGGAGCGTATCCGTGCGAGAGCGTTGCATGAACTAGAGTGCCTCCCACCGCTTGATCCCATCCAGAAGATTGCCCTGGCGCGGAAGCACGACGTACGGGAGTGGCTGTTGCCCTCTTACGTAGCGCTTTGTTTAAGGCGAGAGCCTTTGAATGTGCTCGAGGCAGTAGAACTTGGGCTGGAGACCATGGTACTCATAGCGATTGGTAGGGAAACTGTAAGGGACCCTGGTACTCTGAGAGATTTCGAAGACTTAAGGCAGCCACTGGGATATGAAGAATTTATGACAGCAATCGTTGCCAACATATTTGGAGATGGGGAGTTCTCGGGTGCTTGAAATACGTAACGTGAAGTGCGCAGTATGGCAAAGATCCGAGGGGAGTGTGTTTGACATAATACAATTTAACAGTGACAGTACAATTTGTACAATTACAGGAACAAGCGTGTTATGTATGTTTTTTTGCGGTAATTTTGACGTAAATCGTCAACACGAAGTAAAATGTTGAGCAGACAGTTTCGCATCCGCTTCATGCTGACCTTATGCTGGCCGTCTGACACAAAAATGTTGGGTCCTCTGTCTGGCGTCAAAAAAACGACGTACCTCTGCACTGCCAGTAATGGAGACCGGAGGCGACCTGGTGGGTGGAGATGTAGACGCAGCGGAAGAAGTGCGTGCAATCATAGACAAATCGAGGTCTAATAGACAAGATAACAATTAGCTGTTGCATGTGTCACATTCCGTACAGTGACCGACCTTGTGCCTTGAGTGCGTTCTTCCTCATCTGCCTAGCACTCTCCCTTTCTTCCTCCGTGAAGGAGTTGATCCGTTTCTCGGGTTTGGGCTTCTCGTGAACGGCTAGAGCACCGTGATGAGCGTGGAGCATGACAGTGCAGTCATTACGTACAATTGTTGCGTTGCTGGCCTGTGGTATTTTCCTCGAATTCTTCCTCCTCCTCGTCTGCAAGTGCGGCGGCCTCGAGGTAGCGTTCATCGTTGATACTACCCCAATTGTGTTGGCCACTGCCATTCTTTCGAACGGACTTGTCGAGGCCGGACTTGGACTCAGAGCGATCCCGTAATAAAGCACGAGGGAAGCCAGCGCGTTCTGTGCGAGTCATGATGAGCCTTTGTAGTGATGAGGTCTGTTGGGGATCAAAGTGGTCGTGTGTTGGGAAAATAAAATTGGATGTAAGAAATCGGAAGACGTAGTAGTCTGCTTTTATAACCTGCAGTGCTTTGCCTCACGCCACCTGTGACTATAACTTACAAAGGTAAAGATTCGAGACAAATCTACGATCGACGAGGCTCGTGACCGGAACAACGACTTTTTGTTAGTTTTTGTTCCATCTAGGGCACGTCAATCAAATGGTTGTACCTTTCTTGTTTCACTACGGTGCTGCGGCCGTTCGTACTAACCCAATTGTTTCTGACAGACTTCAATGTCGTCTGACGCTCACTGAGGCTCTGGACAGGCTGCCCATCCCCAGTTCCAAAGAAAGAACTTTGCGGGGAAACGTGAGAATATCATTAAGACGCACGTGGTCACATCAGTCACATGGCTCCACGGTAGCAGAGCTACACCTTTGTACTTACAATAACCCTTTGACAACAGGTGAAGATTTCTTGAGGAAGTGAAGTCATCTAGACCACCCACCTATGAATGGGATAATGGAAGCCGCAGTTCAATCCCTTCTGCGATCATCTGAGAATCTCAAGGCGGCACTCGAAGTCGAGGTCACACAACTTCAAGAACGCGGTGACCTTTCAAGTTCTTCTACAGATGACCGATCCAGACGCATTCTGGCCGTTGTATCGCACAGAAGGGAATACGTGGGAGATGAAGAAGGCAGGTGTGTAACTTGCTTCCTGTGTCAATGGTTCTCGCGCAGGATCTGTTGTTTTTATGCTAGAAGTGGGATACGTCAGGGTCCCTTTCCTGCCGTACAGATGCTTCTACTAAGCTCCGCTCGTTCAACTTTGTGCTGACTCTGAGAAGCGTTCTTATTTTCAAGCGCACACCGGGTCGCTCTATCGAGGACTTGAGTGTGGAAGTTGCGTATCCGATTTCTGGAAGTTTTTCGTTCTCTGTTGCACAAGCAAGGAGAAAAACTTTAGACCTTCGCGCATCTGGGGGAGAGACTGCCGCTACGCTAGGTCAGTCGAGATCAGGTGTGTAAATGCGGCTAATACAATAAGTCGCATTCTCATCGCATCGACAGAACTTACTTTGACTATAAAGTATGAACTGGCTACTGAAACACGAAGCCATACTTTAATCACACGAGATACGAGGAAATTGCAGTCCTTCACTGCAGAATGCAGACGTTTGAAGGACATGTTCAGTCAGCTGTCCTTCTTTTACGTCCCCTATATTGACTTACCAGTGTATCTACTAATTGTAGCTAGACATGAATTCGATGCTGATTTCTCTTGGCTATCACTTTACACGCAAGAGAGCTCTTTGAAATGTACGATACCTCCGATCACGTAAATGTAAATACACGAGCTGACTTGATACTAGCCTTTTCATCTCCTATAGATTTGCGCATGGTCAATGCACCGTTGCATACGCGACTTTCGCCGGCAAGTGCGGGTCTTCCAGGAGACGATGCGGATGATATCAGCATTGTTCGCGAAAATTGGATCTATAACAAAGCTATTGAAGAAGCTTTCACTGGGTCATCGGCGCGCCTGCTGTATGCTCGCTAATACTGTTCTTGAATTATTTTAACGGGCAACTTCGCTCATGAACAGCATCCGCACGGGGACATTCAATGTCAATGGAAAAATGCCGTCGCAGGACCTATCGCCCTGGCTCAGACAAACAAAGCGGAATTCAGAGATATCGGGATGGATCTCACCTTTGAAAGCCATATCACCACTCGACATACTTCCAAACCCAGTTGATGAACGTCAGTGACGTTTTGTCACCATGTCAATTTGTCATTGATTGCACCTCACTCCTTGATTTAGATATGACCACCAGCCTAGGAGCTTCTTCTGCCACACTAGCTCATGCAAGTTTGAACAACGACGCAAAGGTCTCTGATCCAGATCTCCTTGTGCTAGGCTTCCAAGAACTAGACCTTTCAACCGAAGCCCTTTTGTATGCTACCAGTACCGTCAGGGAAGATGCGTGGGTGGAAGCCATCTTGGCTGGGTTGGGTGAGAGAGGCATTCTCTACGAGAAGGTATCGTGTTTTATTTATGTATCTACTGCAATACGATATATAATGTCCGTCAGCTCGCTTCCAAACAGCTGGTTGGCATGCTGATCGTTGCAATTGCGAAGAAGTCGCGTCTGTCATGCTTTAGTGACATCAGATTTAGCACCGCTGGTGCAGGAATCATGGGCATTATGGTATAGGCATAAACATGATTTCTGTGGCATTTAATCAACATTTATCCTGCAGGGCAATAAAGGTGCAACAGCAATACGGATGTCATACACACCTTTAGCCCAAGAGATCTCCGCAAGTCCCACAGTACTCACTTTTGTTAACGCACATCTCGCAGCATTCGATGAAATGATAGAGAGGCGAAACTTTGACTTCCACGATCTTTCCAGGCGCCTAGTCTTTGATCAGACTGACGAGCTTGATTCTAATTCTTATGCGAACACCGCATCGGAAACTTCGAGAAGGCCTGTTGGGTTGTTTGAAAGTGACGTATTATTCTGGATGGTGCGTTGTAACTTGCCCTCTCCATTACCTCACTTACACTTTTGGAACTTTAGGGAGGTTGGTTGATTATTACCTCACGAGATGAATGATTAATTTGGCCGTCACAGATTTGAATTACAGGATAGATCTTGCGGACGGGGACGTCAGAGAACTACTAACATCTTTTCCAGGCCCGGGTAACGTCCCACTTTTGCTTAAGTATGATCAGGTTAGATGATGACTGACATAATTGATCACCGTGCTGATTGTATCGAGCACTCAGTTGAAGATGGCTATCGCAAGCGGGAAAGCATTTGCCGAGTTCTCGGAGCATGCAATTACACATATGCCGTGCGTAGTTTCCTGCCGAATAATTACATAAATCAAATCGCTGGGCGTGGTAGTTCGTACAGATACGCGTCAAATACATCAGAAGATTCTCTGGGATATGATCGAAAGTGAGCGGTTTTCGCAATTGGCTTACTATTGGAGCAATTGACTTATCCTGCTAGGCGCAAACCCGCATGGACGGACCGCATATTACATATGTCGGCTCCAAGTGTTTCAGTCACCCAACGTTCATACTGCAGCCATCCTCAAATAACATTGAGTGATCACCGTCCAGTATCAGCTGATTTCGATTTAAACGTGTGTTTTCTGTCCACAATGCCATGGTGATCCATTCATGCTCGATGTTTATCAGATATCAATTGTTGACAAGCAGAGACGTGAGATCGCCGCCTCTAAGCTGTATCGGGAGTTATGGGGCGTGGAACATTCTTCCGAAACACCGAAAATCAAGCTGCAGCCAATGAAATTGGACTTTGGAAAAGTCTAGTAGGTTTTTGCACCTCCTAGTTGGTAATGACTGAAGTTTGGCTCAAAGCTACAAGCGTCTAATCCGACAAACGTTATCCATTCAGAATAATGGACAGGCAAGTTGACTCAGTAATTTACACAGCCTTTGATGATTACGATTTCCAGATCCCCTGCGTTTACCGATTTGTCACTGCAGATGCTGAACAGCCAATCTGTAAGCAATACCTGAGCTCTCATATCACCAATTGATATGTTGTATTAAAGGTCCACAATGGCTTAAGATTGATCCTGTGGTGGTACGAGGCATCCTCGCACTGTAAAGCTCAGGCTAACCCGCAACTTCTTTCTTTGCAGGGCCTACTTCGTCCGGGTGAATCGTCGACTATCACTGTCACAGTGTTTGTCGATAACTCGCCTGCGTCACGGCTGAATCTTTTACCGCCCCGCTTGGATTTTACCCTCATACTGCATACTGCTCTAGGGAAAGATCACTTCATCTCGGTCACCGGCGAATACCGTACGCCCATTCCTGTTCAGCCTGATACACTCACTGGATATGACGAACACAGAATATACTTGCTTCGCAAACAAGCTTGCCAGACTTACACGACTTCCCTGTCCCGTGCGATCTATGAAGTCTCCGAACGATCAGGTGCCTGCCCAGCAGCTAGTAAACGCTCCGCGGGAGATCATGAGATTGATCAATTGGTTGATGACCTATGTCACCGATCCAGTTCGTGCCATAAAGGTTCTGACTGCATGTCCTAATGGCGCTCTAGATTGATTTATTCAATGGTCTTATTGAAGAGAGAATATGCATAAACATCAGAGAGGTATTTACGAGTCATCTTCGACATTCATGCATGTGTTAATAACTGTTCATAGTGTCTTGATACAGGAGATCAATTCCCATCCCCCCAGTCTGGAGAAGAACACGGTCCGCTGACGACTGCCATTGTATCTACGTTGGTACAGTTATTGGACTCGTTGGTAGATCCTGTGGTGCCCCCTTACCTCCATGCGCGGTGTCTGCAAATGACAAGTAGAGACGAGGCATTCGAGGTACGTTCACAAAACTCCAGTATCTTGGATAGTCTTTATGCGAGTCCCAGCTACTGGATGAATTTCCTCCTGAATCAGTCAATGTAAGGTTCCACACATGGTGCACACACCTCTTGTTAACTCTTCCTAGGTATGGATCTCGCTTACTGCATTCCTCCATTATATGTCCCTGCAAAAACTGTCGTCACAATCATCGACGAATCAAGCGGAAATGACAGAAAGGCTGGGTGCGTCTATCATGCATTATACAGAGTTCATTAGAATATCTACTGAACGAGGTCTGTAGCGACTGTATTTGCATCAGTATTACTGCGGGACGACTCAATAGGGCTTTACACCCCCGTGTCTCCAATCGGAAAACGGAAGTTTTTGCTTCATTTTGTTGGCTGATTTACACGCGACATCCCAGAAGTCCTGTGGATATATCTCAAGCGCTTTGGATTTATAGTGTAGGGAGGACAATGCATGCAACGAGCAACAACTAAATTTATAAGATATCGGACGGAGAACAAGCTCGAAATCAGTTGGAGGCAGAAACAAAAGCGGCTGCTTCCATGTCGTCCGGCGTGGACAATCCCTAGGCATATGTCGGGATTGGAGGAAGGAGAGGGGAGGGGAAACATAGTCTTCCTCAGGATATCACCATTCCCGGTAGCACCCGCTGCAGTAATTCGTTATACATGGATGCATGAGAGTTGGGGTACGACGAGAAAAACGAGACACCCATATCTGTTTATCCGGCTCGAGAGTACCTGAACGACAGTCAATGATGTATGATTTGTCTGAAAGGGCTACTAAGTTGATGTGAGCTGGATTTGAGTGTTGCGAAAGTATTGATGGCAGAGGATTAGGTGTTGGTGATGGTGCCTGGACCAAGACTAGAAAAACGTAAGTTGAATATGAAAGTCCCCACTCGAGTTTTCGTCTTGTTTTATAAGCGAATGAGGTAGGGGAAATGTAGTAGGGGAAATGTAGTAGGGAAGTGCAACGGAACCGTCAAGTCAACTGGGTAGCAAATGGGTAGAAAAAACACGTTTAGTGGACGAGGCTCATCGGTGCGAACCGCATCCTTACCAGAAGAGGAGGGAAGGAGCTTGCGTAGAAAGTGAAGAAAAACATGTAGATCGCTTGTAGACAAAGGTCTAGGTGGGCGAGAGGTAGGAGACATGACAGGTATTAATAGTACTAGACCATGAATGGTACCGGTGCGCCTTGGGTGTGCCCTTTGAAAGGAGCTCCGACAGTCTCGAGTGACTCATGGACGTGGCGCGGTCATCCATTATTCATGAAACTGAATGCAGTTACGATAGATTTGTCTTTTATTATCCAGGAAACCAGCGCAGATGTCCCCCTAGCCAGGTCCCATGAGCGGAATGACATTCACTTGGACATCCCACACCTGAAGGCACTGTGTCATCACCGCGGCCAGCTTCCGAGAATCGAAGTGCTAGTACGCCAGGATAATCGTCATAATTTTGAATAAACCAGCAACGAGTTGGCCTGTGTCCAGGCTCTATAACAGCGCACTGTGGAGACTCATCGATGTCGCAGCTTAGATGCCTGTTCTCACGATCCTCTCAACTCAAGGACCCGTGACAACCGAAAAGACAGTCATTCCTTTACCCAGGATTCATATTTGGATTATCATGACTGTCGGGTGTCCGTGGATGTGACTACCTAAGTTATCTTTGGCCATTTCCCCAAAACAGCGAACCTAGTAGGTCTGGCTCTTATCTTTCCTCCACTCGAATCTGATGAGTTTCGAGGCGTCCTGTGTAGCTTTGCCTGATCTTTACGAGGCTTCAATCGTGGAACTTCAAGATGGTCTAGTCAAAGGACACTTCACTAGTGTTCAACTTGTCAAGGTAGACTCTTACTGCTCCAGTACGTATCCGATGCAGCGTCTAATCAATCGCAGGCCTACTTGAACAGAATCGAGGAAGTAAACTTGAAGGGTCCTGCATTACATGCGGTCATCGAGACTAATCCAATAGCCTTATCACAAGCTGCGGCCCTTGACGATGAACGGAAAGACAAAGGTGGCCGCGGGCCATTGCACGGAATACCATTATTGTTGAAAGATAACATTGCTACGCTGCACGAAGAAGGTGAGATTCTCTGCGTTATATGTGTACATGCAGTACTAATAAGTCGATATTCGAATAAGGAATGAACACGACTGCAGGTAGATTCTGTACTTCTGCCTGCCATTTTGTAGATCACAGCTTTTGGGGGTATCCTAGGTTCCTACGCACTGCTGGGTTCTGTCGTTCCTCGAGATGCATTTGCTGCTGCACAATTACGTGAAGCTGGGGCTATATTTATAGGAAAATCAAACCTCTCAGAGTGGTCCGGTATGAGGGGTGAGTGGGGGCGTATGAAGGGACAAGTTCCCAATGGCTTGTCGGAGCGTGGGGGACAAACCTTTTCCCCCTACTACCCGAATGCACATCCGTCTTCTTCGAGCTCCGGAAGTGGCGTTGCGATGGCCATTGGTCTCGCAGCTGGTTCGCTTGGCTCAGAAACTCATGGCTCTATTGTCTCTCCAAGTAGCAGGAACAATGTTGTGGGCATCAAGCCCACCGTCGGGCTGGTATCTCGCTCAGGCGGTAAAGTTTTCAGTGGTGGCCTTCCTGATTCCCTGACTGATTATGAACGCCAGTAATACCTATCTCATCTCATCAAGATACTCTTGGCCCAATGTGTCGTTCTGTCACTGACGCCGCGCTATTGTTGAATTTCATGGCCGGGCCTGATCCTCGAGATGAAGTTACTTTACGTCAGCCCGGACTAGTCCCAGACTACATGAAGGCGCTTGACAAAAACGCCCTCAAAGGTGCTCGTCTTGGAGTGCCTCGTTCTTTCATCCGTAATACCAAGGTCATCCAGGAGACCTTCAACTCAGCTCTTGACGTCTTTCGAGCTTTGGGCGCGGAAATCGTTGATCCTGCGGATTTCCCGGATACAGAAGAACTACTGACATCGAAGGCGGAGAAGCGGGTACTGGACGTGGACTTCAAAGTTGATCTTAACAAATACCTATCAGAACTTGTCGACGTTCCGACAGGCGTCAAGACTCTCGCTGCATTGATAGAATTCAGCGAGAAACGTGCGGACCTAAATTTTCCACCACCATTTTACAATGATCAATCGCAGTATGTCGGCTCAAATCTCATACGCGATATGCTTTTAGCCAGGATATCTAGATTCAAGCAATCGGAAGCCTCTCAAGTTGATGACGCCTACTTTTCGGCACTAGCCGAAGAATTCGACTTGGGACGCACGAGAGGAATTGATGCCACTCTGGCCCAGTTCAATCTCGATGCTATAATTCTACCAACCGAAAATGCATCGACACCCACGGCAATCGCAGGGTATCCGTTGATATCAGGTTGGTACTTCTTACTGTGATCTTAATCCTACTCAAATTCATCTAATATTTAGTGCCCCTCGGATTCCAGCCAGATGACGTCGAGTTACTTCCTGTGACGCCACCGTCAATCTATACGCAAGCCCCGGGACTTCCTTTTGGAATTGTTTTTATGGGAACCGCGTATAGCGAGTTCAAGCTCATCGGCTATGCGTATGCATTTGAGCAGGCTACCCATGTGAGACTTCAGAGAAAGGCCTACGAAGATGCGATTCCTAGAACCCAATTAACGGACATTATGTCCCAGCTGTGAACGTGGCTTTAACATTATTCACTGCCATACAATACTGATGCCCAGTGAAAACCCAACATGATGAGGTCGGGTGGAATATGATAATTCTACAATTACACAATACGAAAAATGATGAGGTCTGAGATTTCCGACCAAGACGTATTGTATTGCATCGTCTTCGTTGTATTGTGCATTGTCCTCGCATCGTTTTTGCATCGTTTGCATCGTTCTCGCATCGTTTCGCATCGTCGTTCGTGTTGTGCTGCACATTGTTTGCGTCACTTGCATGGCTCTCGTCGTCCTTTTTGTCGCACATCGCATCACTTTCACTGTGATCTCATTGCACATTGTGATTGCATTGTGTTGACGTCATACTACATCTGCCAGTAATGGTTTTTACCAAGTTCATATAAGTATGTCTCCGGGTCAGGCCATACTTGTGGAGGAACGATACACGCGGGAGGTTTTACGACACGCTAGAACAAAGGTACGAGTCTCAGTATTCGTTTCGAATCTCTATTAACAATTGTTTGTACCTAGAACAAAGGTACGACTAGATGTACGTCAGCGCTTGCGCTCGAACGTTACAGTGGGACTTGTACTTACGTCTCAGTATTCGTTTCGAATCTGAGACGTTTCGACGAAAACAGCGTCCTCTTATACGGTGAGTCTGCCAGCAATAGCTTTGATGAAAAATATATACTTAAAGAACGAAAAGATTGCCGACGTTGACACGTCGTCGACGTTCTCCGTTTGGAGACGCTCGCACTCGATGTGCTCTATTCTTCGGCCGTATCGTCCTTTCCTTCCTCAGCTCTCTCTCTCTCGGCCTTACTTCCCTCGGACACATCGGCTCTCAACACTCCCCCTCGAGCGTTATCCAAACACATCAATGTCCTCAACCTCTGGAGTCGGGGACGTGCCAATGGCTTCGTGAACGCGTCCGCGACATTGTCGTCACTGGGGCAGTAGATTATCTTGAAGGTACCGTCCTTCACGTGGCCGCGTACGAAGTGGTATCGCAGGTCTATGTGCTTGGTGCGCGATTGGAATTTTCCCGTCGAGACTAACGCTATAGCAGCTTGGTTGTCGCAGAAGATGGGTGTGGGGAGGTCTTGGACGTCGTAGAGCTCGCGGATGAGGAGTTGCAGGTAAAGTACTTCCCTTGCCACGCTGGTCAACGCTATGTACTCAGCTTCAGCTGTTGACAGGGCTATGATAGGCTGTTTGCGCGCGCTCCACGAAACGGGGCCTCCATGGAGCAGTACGATGTACCCGCTCATGGAGTGCCTATGTGGCTGCGATGCCCAATCGGCATCGACAAACGCCTCAATTCCTCCCTCGCTGGATCCCAACGTCAGCTCATAGTCTGCGGTGCCTTTCAGGTACCGCAGGGCGCGTTTGGTGGCCTCCCAATGGGGTCTCCCCGGATTCCTCATAAATTGCGACAGTGTTGCCACCGCAAAAGCGATATCTGGCCGGGTACTCGTAGCTGCGTACATTAACGAACCGATCGCGCGTTGATATGGTATGTCTCGCATAGCTTGGAGTTCGGCGTGTGTTGCAGGGGACTGATCTATGGAAAGGACAGTACCTGGTTCCATGGGCGTGTGCAGGACCTTCGCGTCCTCCAGGTGGAACCTTTTGAGGATCGTCTCGACGTATGCCTTCTGTGAAAGTGTCAAGGTGCGTGCTACGCGGTCCCTCGTCACCTTCAGCCCCAATAAC